TTGCTTGACATACTTAACACAGTTCGTGCGCTTGTCATAGTTGATATACGTGGTTTGCTTAAACTGCCTAGTTAACGTCTCTTTTGCATCGCATATTTGCTAGGAAGACCTTTGTTCGTCGATTGTATTTGTATTAAAAGAGGGTTTCTCCTATACAGATTTCTTGACATTGATAGTCGAGGTCACTTCTCTGCCCCACTGCTTCTGCTTTTATCACACCAGTAGTTGATCAAGTATCACGATCGATCGTGTATTGTATTCGTCTTCTGAGCCTCTGCTGGTTGCAGCGCGCCAATAGACTTGAAAGTAGAAACTGTTGTTCTATTTATGCAATAGTATACACATGTTTCACATCATTGTAATCACACCAACTGCATTCTCTTCTCTCACTACATCAGCCTCACAAGTCATTGCAGCTTTCCCCACACACCTCGAATTGCAAATCACTTTGGGCTTTTTTGAATTCCGATCCCCCCCCCCTCTCGCAGTAAGAGCATACACTAACAACAGATGGAAAAAAGTTTCTCAGTAAGTTTCTTCTCATTCAGCCTCCTTCCTTGCCCAGACCACCTCAATCTAATGAAGTTTATCTTCTTCCTCCTGAGTAATTTCTTTACCCTGACCACCAACATTCTTTAGTAAATCCTGTATTATCCAATCAAGATCTGATTTCGACAGTAGTTGGCTCCCAATCACACTGATTGTATTCAAATGAGACTCCAAGTGCGGATAGCTTCCTAATTTAACAACGCCGTCACCGTATTTTTCATTGCACCTGTTTTGCAATTTACCAAGATATGGGGCCAAATGACTTTCACCAGTTTTTGTCACGACGTATCTTCTTATCAATTTCTCAGAGTCGAGTCGAGGAGATATATAGGATTTGATGACTGGCAAACATTGAACAAATAGTTGAGGCACACCTGGCAAGATGAAGACTTTGTCATCGATGATAACTATGGGAAACCACATTTTGTCACTGCCAAATATTTTCTCCACTTTGATGTTAGGTTTCGTGGTGTTGTGGGGGGTATTTGTGGATGTGGTGGTAGCAACAGCAGTTGGCAAAGTGGCCATTCTGTAGAAGGCATCCAATTGTTCTTTATCCAAGTTTGCCAAGTAGTCTTTACGAAGTGACTGCATACGGTCCACAACTTCTTTGTCTAGTTTGTACTCCAATTCATAGTATTCGCTAATAGCCTCATAAGTGATGTCGTCGTGTGTGCTACCCAACCCTCCGGAGGTAACAAGAAAATCCACATTGTCCTGAGTTAGTAGGTTGTTCAAGGACGTTTTGATGTCAAGGGAGTCGTCTCCACAAACTACAGTTCTTTTTAATGGAATTGACAACTCATTGAAGCAAAATTTGGCGAAATTGTATGAGTTTGTGTCCATAATCTTGCCATTCAAGATTTCATCGCCAATGATCAAACATCCGGCAGATTTGATAGGTGTGTGGTGAGGGAGTGTCATGATTCTAGACCTGCAACTGTGATTGTGATTGTAACTGTGAATGTAACTGTGGTTATAACTACTCAACCGTTTGAAAACTAATCTCATATAAAAGGCGTTGAAGTTGAATACGAGGTTACTGGTTACATAGTTCAATGTCGCAAGACAATAATAATGAGACATACACACACACACACACAGAGAGAGAGAAGACATAAACAGAGTGAAAGTCGTGTAACACAGAACAAAAAAAGACAAAGACAAAGAGAACAGCATACAAGGGTAGTGTAAATGTGTAAATACCCCTTTTTCCCTTGTCAAAGTTTCAAGTGTGGCATTTATAGAAAGAAATGGTAGTGTAAAAGTGGATAAAACTTTTACAATGTATTTGTCATCCACCTTCACACGACTTTTGAAGAAAGCAAAAGAAAACTAGAGGAGACAGAGGCAGAAAAAAATTCTCTTTGCAAATAATGTCAACTATTACAAATTCTTTTCTTCTAAGCTTTGAGCACTCCTTTCAAACCACACACTTGTTACTACTACTACTACTACTACTACAACAACAACACCTACTCACTCACACATTCAACGTCTGAACTATACTTTTCATCACCCTCCACCTTTTCTTCCCCCTTTCCCCCTAACCCCTACTTTATTTTTTTATTTTTCTTCTTGTTAGTGCCACTCGCCAGCTCATAACACTTACTATACTTTTTTTTTATCCAATGGGAAATAGCCCGTCTAAAGATGAACCCCTACCGAGAACCTCATCCTCATCAAATACTAGCCATGATGGAAACTCAACCACCGGTACTACTGGAAGTACCGACTTAGATCCAGATGAGATGGCCCTGGCGCTATCTCAACTAAACTTACGAAAACTGCAAAGAAATAAGCACCAGCACCACAGGGCTCCCACTATCGTTAAAAGCGTGCACGCGACATCTCCTGCTATTGAAATAAATGACAAGGAGAAGAAACGTCGTAGCAGCATCAACAACAACAACAACAACAACAACAGCAGCAGCAGCAGCAGCAATAGCGATAGCAGTCACTTTTTGAATGTACCTGGGTCTCGACAAAGAGGAGGGGCTGCCTCAACGTCTCCCATCAAGAACGCAACCAACAACAAACCATCAAATAGCAGATCCACACATGCAATGGAAGAAGATCCCCTCAACCAAAACTTTGACATGGAGATTGACATATCCATGGCCAAACTCCTAAAGAACCAACACGATGTATCTTCCTCGGTGGACTCTCTGGACATTTCCGTTGCATCCCCCGTATTTACCACTTCTGGCAACGACTTGAAGGAGGAGGACCTGCTCCTGTCGTCCAGTTCAAGTCCCGGCAATTACATCACTGCCGGTGCCACGAAAAGCTTGGCAAATATTGAAGGCGGGTTGGGTTCCCCAGTGGTTAACAAGTTGGATTCAATAGCCGAAAGCAGATCATTGGAATCATCACCCGAGCCTAAAGTGCTATCAAAGGATAACTTGAAGAAACTTGAGTCTGTGGCAACACCTTCAGGTGGTAGCTTGGCTGCTGCTGCTGCTGCTGCTGCTGCTGCTGCTGCTACGTCACTGCCAATGAAGCTGCAGTCAAGTAGCTCGACCTCATTGTCAAGCTCACCACCATTGATTCCCACCAACAAGAAGTTGGCCATCGATATCGATGGAGTCATTGAACGGTTGTTGTCAACCAAGAAACGCTCCACATCTCGTAAATCCAAGGATGCATTGCGTGTTGATACCGAAGAAATTCAGTACATTTTGGGCAAGAGCCGACAAATCTTTTTAGAACAACCCAACTTGTTGCGATTATCACCACCCGTTAAAGTAGTTGGTGATATACATGGACAATTTCATGATCTCATTCGTATTTTCAATTGTTGTGGATACCCACCATACTCAAACTACTTATTCTTGGGCGACTATGTTGACCGTGGAGAAAAGTCTTTGGAAACAATCTTGCTTCTCTTGTGTTACAAGATCAAGTACCCTGAGAATTTCTTTATGTTGAGAGGAAACCACGAGTCAGCAAATATCACCAAGATTTATGGATTTTATGACGAATGCAAGAGAAGATTGAAAACCCCTCGTATGTGGAAAAATTTCATTGATGTGTTTAATACCTTGCCGGTGGCGGCCACGATCAATGACAAGATTTTCTGTGTCCATGGAGGATTGTCACCTGAACTCGATGATTTATCGCAAATTGAAAAGATTAAACGACCCACTGATGTTCCCGACAAGGGATTATTGGCAGATTTGTTGTGGTCCGATCCTGACCCCCTGGTTAAAAACTTTTCTTTAACCAATTGGCCCAAGAATGATCGTGGTGTTTCGTACTGTTTTGGGAAGAAACATGTTGATTACTTCTGCTCAAAGTTCAAATTGGACCTTGTCGTGAGGGGCCATATGGTTGTTGAAGATGGTTATGAGTTTTTCAACAAGAGGAAACTCGTTACTGTGTTTAGTGCCCCTAATTATTGTGGTGAATTTAACAATTATGGGGCAATTATGAGCGTGAATAAGCATTTGTATTGTTCATTTGAATTGATCAAGCCCACATAACACTGAGCTGAGCATGTCAACAGATTCGTTTTGTTTATATATGTATATATAGCTACATATATATCCCATAGCTTTTCATTGAGCTTTTTTTTGTTTGTATCACATACTCTTTTTTTTTTATATATCATATTAGTTATCATCTATTAAACATGTTCTCCTCTCTATTTACAAAAAGCTCTCTAAACAAATGCGGCAGCCACGTCTACTTCTTGCTCTTCTTGAACCCAGCAATTGCCCCGCTAATCTTATTCATCAACTTGCTGTACCTCAACAAATAATAAAGACACATGCAAAAACCAATATTGAACAAGATATACGCAAAAAAGAACCCTACATTTCTCCATCTCAACGAGAAATGGGCACCAATGGTTGCCAAGTACTGATCAGCATTGGAAAACGTACAATATCCACAGTTTGACTCAGCGGATGGATTATCAATATACCCACCCGATCTCTCCACAAATGCCTGAGCAAACTCACCACAAGTTTGCCCCGAAGGCGGATTGAAAAACGCCATCTCTTTATCATTGCAATGAATCTCGCGACGATGCAAAAATGACGACACCAAATTCTGGATAAAGTAAGTGTATGGCGACAACTTGTACATAAATGTCCAGAACCCGGGCATCAAGCTCACTGGCTGCACGATCCCGGAAAAGGCAACGATAAAAGTATACAAAAACGACACTAATACCGCCGCACTTTGCAAATCGGGAGCAATGTAAAGCACCATCAATCCAAACGACACGGCAAAAGCTTGCACAAATATCCCCTGGGTGAAGTAAAACATCCCGGATTGCGACGCAACTGTTGATGTTTGTGTGGGGAAATATACAGAAACAAACATGATGGCACCTCCAACTAACAAGTATGGCATTTCATTCAATGCCTGGCACAAAATCATCAATGACCAATGATATGTGTTTGACAATTTTTCACGAACCTCAAACAAGTCTCTTCCAGTAATTGCCTTTTCTTGAATCTGATTGATCACGGGAGCAGAAATAACAACCGTCAAAAATGAACAAAACATACCATTTTGAGCACCAGTTTTCGTATGCTTCAATCCAAAAAACGTGAAACCTATAAACAATCCAGCAATCGTCATCAAGAAAATCTTGGCCATGACATAGTCAGGATCACGGAAAAACGTCAATGCATTCCTATGCAACACATATCTGAATTGGTAGAAATATGGAGTCGCATACTTGTGGTTCAATTGTTTCTCCTCCTCAGGACTCAAATCAGAGGGCTTTTTCTCCAATTCGGCAATCAAATTGTCCAACTTTTCATCCTCCTTAATCTTTTCGGGTGAGTTTTCCCAAATCTTGAACCAATCTTCTTGAACGGCGGCAGTCGCACCAGCACCAATGGCCTCCAAGATATATTCGGCGGGGTTCTCAGTGCTTTCACAATGTCTAGCTCCGTTTCTTTCAAAGTAGTCTAGTATGGTTTTCGATTTATCTCCAATCTCGCCAAAATAGACAGTTTGACCTCCCTTTCTCAAAAGCAACAACCGATCAAACTCCTCAAACAAGGTGGCAGAAGGTTGATGGATGGTACACAAGATTGATTGCCCAGCATTGGCCAAGTCTCTCAACAATTTCACAATGGCCCACGCAGACTGTGAATCCAAACCAGATGTGGGTTCATCAAGGAAAAGTAACAATGAAGGCTTTGCCACCAATTCAACACCAATCGAAAGCTTTTTCCTCTGTTCAACATTGAGCCCATTACCCGATTTCCCAACAACAGCATCGGCATATAGACTCATGTCCAACACATCGATAATCTTTTCCACATAGTCCAACTTTTCGGCATCACTCACATCATTTGATCTTCTCAACCGTGCAGCAAATTGCAACGACTCTCGAACTGTAACTTCAGAAACATGAATATCCTGCTGTTGAACGTACCCAGTTCTTCTACTGAAGGACGTATCAAGGGGTTTCCCATTCACCAACATGTCACCAGTAATGGTTCCAAAATCGATCCTCTGAGCCAAAGTATTCAACAATGTCGTTTTACCAGCACCGGACTCACCCATCAACGCCGTCAATGTGCCTGGTATACAATACCCGCTCACATCGTCCAAAAGTTTCCGCTCTTTACCATCATATGGAATAACATAATCAACATTCTTCCAAAGGAAAATATCCTTGACTCTCAAATCTGAGTCATTTGCATTCACTTTGGCTTCACGATCATCTAAATCATTCATTGCCGGACCTTGCTCGATATCACCAGCTTGCTTCTCAGCTGGAAGTGCAATCTTTTGAGGAATCTTACCCCTCAAGTACAATAGCTTATCTCCACCACCAGTAATGGGCTTGATGTACTCAGTTCCCAATGCATTAATGGCCAAGAAAAACGCCATGAACCCAATAATGATACCAAAGTTTCTCCAAACATGGTTGAAACTATAAGTGTATGCGGTTTTCAAATAATCATCACCCAAAACCCAATCTTGACCAGGCTTCGATCCAAGAAAAGCACAAGCTTGTTCACCACTGCCCAAATTTTCATAACCGGGCCCATTGGGGGTAAGATACTGACCCAAACATTGCATATGTCTTCCATGAAACTCTGATGCCACAACTGCTTCAAATGCATACAAAACAGGGTTGATGTATGAGATCCACTTGAACCATGGATGCATTGACGGACGTTGAATCATGTATGAAGAATACATCAACGACGCCATCATCAACACACCCCCCAATGCGTTTGCGGCGGCAATAGTCTTGTTAATGGATGCAACAGCTTTGAACAAAGCACCCATTGTCAAATGAAGCAACGTGATGAATAAAAACGCAATGAAAAACTTTCCTGCTTCTCTAGCCAAATTGGACAAAAAGTACAAGATAATGACAAAGAATATGTTGACAAGGATACTAATTGGAATAGACATGACAAATTGTGCTAGGGCATCAGCCGAAGGATGATACATTGAGTAGTTCTTCTGCTTCATCAAGATGGGACGAGAGCTAAATGAAGCTGAAATCTCAGCCAACCCCATCAACGCCATAAACAACACGGCAAAAAACACCACACCACCACGTGAGAACGCTCCAACAACAGTTTCAGGCGTGTTGTAGTACAATGAACCACTGACAAAAGCTTGACTAACTCCCGCACCAATAAGAGTGACTGTATACGCTTTATCTCCCCAAATTTGCTGAGCGCTTCTAATTGTGCACAACTTTAGCTGTTGCAAGTATGATATGGTGAAGGGCGATTTTTTTCTAGCTCCCTTCATCTTTTCCTGCGAGATGGACTTGTAGTACATTTGTCTAGTTTCATCGGCATCGATGGAATCGTTGTACTCTTGAATCTCCAAAAGTAAGTTTTTGTATTCCTCAGAATTCAACCAACGCAATTCAAATTCCTCTGCTGTTTGAGGAACTTTATTCTCCCACCCCTTTTTGGCAAACCTTCCAATTGGATCAGTTAAAGCGGTTAAGAACTCTGCGGTTGTTTGTCTTGCAGGACACTCCCATCCCATATCTTCAAAATACTTTTTAGCATTCTTGGCAGATCCAAAGTAAATTTGTCTTCCATGGTAGAGCACCGTCACCTTGTCAAAACATTCATAAATATTTTCTCCTGCTTGATAAATTGAAACAAATGCCGTGGTTCTCAAAATATCAGTTGATGTTCGTATGGCACGAGCAAATTCCAACGCTGTGGATGCATCCAATCCCCTTGTTGCATTATCCCAACAATATATGGAACCGTTACAAGCCAATGCTTCAGCAATTGATACTCTTTTTCGCTCTCCACCAGATACACCACGAACGAAATCGTTACCAACTTTAGTATGGTAAGTGTGTCTCAATCCAAACACAGTTGCCAAGATTTCTTTCTTGGCATTGACAAACTGTTCGCGAGTGACTCCATTTAATCTCATTTGGGGGGTTTTACAACCAATCGCAAATGACAAAGTCTGGTCCACAGTCAAGTGGGGGAAATGAACATCCAATTCAGGATTGTACACCAAATCATTTTTGTAGTTGTTTAACATTTCATGTTGAGTCAATCCATCGTACCTTATATCCCCGTCAACTCCCTTGTACAAGTCAAAATCGGTGCCAGTCAACGACTTCAAAAAAGTTGTACAACCAGCACCTGGACGACCCAACACCAAAACCATTTCCCCTGGTTTGGCAAACCCATTTAAATTATTCAAAATTGTCTTTTTCGGGGTCCTCATTTTGGAAACTGCTTGTTGTATGCCACCAACGGGTCCTTTGAGTAAGTCAAGTACAGTAGGAACAATGGCAAATGATTCGTCGTTTCCATAAACGCAAAGGTCTTGAAATGATACACCACTGCATCTCATTGCCAACCCTTGTTTCTTTGCAAAGTAGACAAAGTTCGACAAGATACGAAGAAGACTAAACTCCTCCATTTTCAAGGCGAATTGGCCATCCTTATTGGTGATTTGACGTGAGATATGTTTTGAAAGGGAGTCGAGCTGATCAGTTGAGTTTTTGCTGGATAGTGCGGTGATTGTCCTTACCAAGTGTAATCTTCTACTCTCGTCGTTATTGTCATCGTAATCCTCATCTGAATTAAGGACAGAGTCCGTACGCTTTAATGAGTTTTCATTATTAGCGCTTGCCTCTCTCTTTTCAATGTCCCCTCCATTGTGATTGTGGCCAGTAAACTCTTCAATAGATGAAGTAGATGCAGCCGTGGTGGAGTTTGACTCGTTCATTGGAAATGGTGGGGTAAAGGTTCACTAGTAATGAAGTGTAGTATAAGCCAGACAAGCAGGTTCTCTTGCAAGTGATGCCTTAATCTAAGTAAAGCTTCAAGTTGAAGGGATTGTGTTGATGGTCTGCTGTTGTTGTTGTTGTTGTTGTTGTTGTTATTATTATTATTATTATTAGTGGGGTAGTTGATGATAACAAAAGATTATTATTATTATTGTCGTACGATTGAGTTAACTAAAAGTGTCTCTTGTGAAGAGAGGTAGTTGAAAAGATGAAAAGATGACTAGAACATATCTGTTGCAGAAAGGACTATGCAATTGTATCTCTATATATGTATAGTTGGTATAATAAGATGCACATACGATATCTTCATCAACTTTAGTAATATTACAATACTCCTTACTAAGTAGTTAGTAAAAACAGTAGTTAGTAGTAGTGTATATAATGTAACCTGTAGAGGATGCGGCTTTTGCGCTCTTTGCTGATTATACGGAGTTAATACCTCCGTATTTTCCTTCTTAACTCCTTCTAAACGCCGTATTTTGTATATTACCAAACACACTTTACTTTACTTTACTTTACTTGTCTTTTTCATCTCATCTAGACTATAATATAGTTTGATTATGTGGGTTTGTCACTATCCTCATCACAAGTCATATTAGATTATCCCTACATACACACTTCCTCCATGTGTATCATCCTCTCATTAAAACAAAATAAACTACTAATACAAGCATACAGTTTGTTGAACTAGTCAAGTTTGTTGCCTTTGTTTCCACAAATTTGTTGCAAAAAAAAAAACAGTGTAGGTGGTGTTTACAATTGAAGGAAAACGGACTACAAGTTTGAAAACATCAACCCACACATCACCGACACATCAACATGTCATCATTCAGGACAGACAGTGAGTTATTATAGACTAAGTAGACGCTTAAGTTACATGTTCCATGGAGAAGAAGAGGAACGGTATTGGAGAAAAATTTGCGCACTCATTTCCAAATTGGGTAAAACAAAGTGCGCAAAAAAAAAAAAACAAAATTTAATATGAACAAAGAGAAATCACATAAACCAAAGACATAAAGTAAACCAAAGACATAAAGTGTAAATGAGTTCACAAATCATCCTATTACTGCAAGAGATTGTTTTTTTTTTTCTGCTCCACGACCCGTTTGCTCGAAGCTCATAACAAGTTTGATTCCCAATAATGTATATATACGTACATATACGTATATATATATATATCTATGCAAAAAAAGATAGCCCATAAATACACTACAGAGTCCTGCTCTCTTCTCTCCCATTTTCCCTACATTTTATAAATATCTGAAATACCACCAACACCACCACTACCAACAGCAACAACAACAACAACAGGAAACATCCTTCACTAAACGTTCTTCTTACTCTGTCACTCTGGGCTTGGACTACCACCGTATCTTCGTTTCAAATGTGGCGATGAGAATCCATTCCTGATAAACCCATTCTCATCGTAAGCTGGAGTCAGGTGAGGATACTCTGAGTGTTGCTGGGCATTACCATTGACAACGCCTCTTAGATTGTCATGTTCCTCATCCTCATCATAGTCACCTTCTTCATCTTCATCATCCTCTTCATCGTCATCATCATCAACATCCTCTTCATCATCTTCATCATCATCTTCTTCATCATCATCATCATCTTCTTCTTCATATCCATCTCCATCTCCATCCTCCAGAATATATTCATCTACATCTTCACCATTAACAGGAGTTCCACCTGCTGTCCTCACTACGTTTCGTCTCGTTTCCCCATCATAATGGCCTCCACTTTGTTCTTTAACATAACACACCGCCAACCTCTGCAGTTGCAGTTGCAGTTGCAGTTGCAGTTCATCCCCATTATGGTTCCCATACTGCGTATTCTTCCCCATCAAATCAATCAACTGACTATAATACAAATCCAACACATCTTTAGCTTGACCAATATTCGTACAAATCACCCCACTAACCTTATTCAAAACTTGCTTTCCAGGAACACATCTCCAATCCACACGATTCAAAAAATCCAATTCCAAACAATTCAACTCACCAAGTGCAACACCCCCAACTTTAGCATAATGGTCATTGGTATAAAAGAAATCCTCCAAGGATTTCTGGGCAATCATGGTCGCCACCAACAAGAACCGGTGCACCGTCCATGAATTTAAAGTGAAGAATGGTTGGTATTGGTGCGATAATAGATCAATGTAGTAAATCGTAGTTAGCAAAATCGCCGGATTGAAGTTATTGAATTTGCTTAGACGTGAGAGGTATGTGTATGCAGATATTGCGGGTGGTGTACGTGAGTGGTATCTCGTTAGCAAGTTATTGGAAGATTGTGATCCATTGCTAGTTGAAGAAGTTGCCGTTGTTGCTGCTGCTGTTGGTGTTGCTGTTGATGATGATGCTGGTGGATTGGAGATTGAACGGGGCACTGACTTATCATTCAATGTGATTAATGACTGTAGCATTCGTGATATTAGATCTATGAGATAATCAATAGGACACTCCATAAATTCTAAAGGTAGTTGATGAGTTATATGAGTTGCAGGTGGTTTCCTCTTTTGTGGTTCAGAAACTGTCACTTTGCTAGTCTTTTTGATCCTATCATCTTCGGCGGGTTTTGTTGTTATGGTGGATGTGCTGCTAGTTGTTGTGTCTTTGTTTGAATGCTCCAATGGCAGTACATCACGACGCTGTAGTCTGGGACTAATCTTACTCGTCAAGTATTGCTTGTAATTTCTTTCATGCTCAACCTTTTTATTTGAATTCAAGTACTTTTGATATACTTCAAGTGATTTAACCTTGCGTTGCTTCTCAAGAGCTTTAAAATATAGCTGATGGTCGTTCAAAGTTGTTTGAATTTCAAGTGATTTGATATATTGTGATAGAAAGCTGTCATCGCCTGTGGAAACTCGACGTCTTTGGCCAAGGTCATCTCTCTTGTTTGGCGAGCGCTCTAAACTGACTGTTCCTCTCTTGTTTGAACTCCCACGATTGCGGTTGTCAGGTGGTGTCTGGCCATTACTAGCGAGGTTCCGTCGTATTCTGCTCGAGTTTGTTTTGTTGGGGTTCATTTCGGATGATGAAGGTGTAGTACTGCGCTGTCTTGGTGTCGGTCGATGAACTTAATATTGCCAGCTTTTGCTGCTAGTGTTGCCGCTGTTGTTGCTGCTGCTGCTGCTGCCGCAACTATTGGGATGAATACCACTGTGTCCCTCGCCAAAAGTGTTGAAACCCACAGCTGAGCCAGTAGGGCTAGATGTCGGCGTCGCGTGATTCGACGGTACAGACATCATCATCGTTGTGGGTATACTAGTGAGTGTGCGATAGTGTATGTCTATTCTTTTTAGAATTAGTGTAGTTTTGTCTTGAAAAAAAAAAAAAAAATAATCTGATGGATGGACTATTATATCATCTAAAATTTTTGATGGAGTGGGGTGGGGAGCGAAATGGAGTATGTTTTGAAATTTATGTGAATGACTCTTGTCTGTTTGGCAGCGGTTGCTCTTGCGACACAAGGGGACGGACAATGACTATGCTGGTTAGGAAGAAGAAAACAGTGAAAGGAATTATATGTATGTATGATGTGTACAGTCTGGCGTTGTTTCCTGCCTTTTCGGTTAATCCTAGTTGTTATATCTCAATTAGGAATGAGTTCCGCTTTTGACCTTTCACCCAAAGAAATTTTTTTTTTTGTTTTTGCTTCACGTTGTCAGAGTGAGTTGAGTGAGAGACCAGACCAGTAAGTAGTAAGTTTCCTCAACAAACAGTGAAAAGAAATGCGATGAAAAAGAGAAACTGGCTATAACAGTTGATGATATTGCTTCTTCTTCTGCCTAAAACGTATTGTGTAGTAGCAGCAGTGTTGAGTCTGAGCAATCGGTTCTTCGTGGTTGATCCTTTGTCTGTCTTGGTTGATCACTTGTTTTGTATTTCTCTCCTTTCGACACACACACACAGTAGTAATCTAGCCTTGTTGTTAACTCTTTTGAAGTAGTTGACGTCAGTAGGAAATGGTTGGGGAGGTGGGTTTGGTATTTGTCTTTGTAGTGTGTGTGTGTGTGTTTCTAGTGTATAGGTTGCTAAATAAAAGTAAATGAATTAATTTTTCTCTCACTCTTTGTAAATGGCGGCAGATTGGATTTCATTTATATTTCCCACTTTCTACTTTCCACTTTCTACTCTTTACTCTTTTACTCTTTACTGTATCACTTCTGCCTTAGTACCAAAAGAGACGACTACATTTATATGAGTTTTGCTCTCCCCCAGTGGTAAAGAGAATTCAAGTTCAGCACAGTTAGATCTATATAGATACTCAGAGATAAATACTTGCACACCACCTGTATCTCTGTCTCTGTCTTCACTACTGCTACTGCCACCACGAAGCTTTTTCTAAACCTTAACTGCACAATCGCCTTCTCTTCTTCTCTTTGCCTCTCACTCTATTAAAAATGGTTGCTCTTAAACAAAGAGTTGTAAGTGAGTATTTCAGAGAGACACGTGCCCACTTTTTTTCCACAAGACACAAAACACAAATAATACAAATAATACAAATAATACAATATTACGTATTATTATTATTGCTACTACTGCTACAGACCGTGTTTTTCTTCTCTTCATAAACTTGTGTCACTGCAGTGTTTCTTCAAGCACAATTATAATCAATAGCAGGCGGCGTATTGTTATTTGATGTTTGCTGTTTGCTGTTTGCTGGTTGAAATAGCTCTCCATTATTTAGTGCTCGTTTACTTTCTAACATACACAGTTCTTCTCATCATCAACATCTTCTTCTTCTCCCTTCTTCTTATCGTTCTAGTATTACACAAACTCAACAGTGCTTTTCTTTTCCCCCCCCAAATTTTACTTCTAATTTACACAAAAGCTTCAACAACAGCCCACGTGCACGTGGGGGATAACCTTGACTGACTGGTAGATAATTGGTAGGCACTAAATACTGGCCCATATAAATACAGACACAGAAAACCCGACTGGTGAAGGACACTTGTCTCACATTTGCAACCCCACTTTGGCCACACTGACTATAGACATCGCACTGCCTGGATTTCAGTAGTTTTCTGTGTGAAAGTTACTGCAAAAAATTTACATTAAAGTAGTAGATGCCGAGCATCAGAGACTTTAACTTGTAAAGCCTTTTCCCTCCCCCCATTATCCCTAACCACCCTTTTCACAATTGCCCTAAGCTTGACCCCCGATCCATTCCATCCTTGTGCTTGTAGTGAAACCACGATTCTTTGTGATAGCCTTCAACAGTGTCGCTCTCTCCTCTAATGTCTTTAAACAAGGGCTTGTTACCCCACCTAATCTCCACAGTCTCTAGTTCTAACCTGTGGCAATAGCAGCTCATCACAATTTGGCTGAGCCACGTCTGACCCAGTCATTTGCCTCACTTACCGATTGTTTTCAGAGACCCAAAATGACCTCAAGTCTTTCAAAAAGCTTGCTTATTTGTGTGGTGTATTATTGGGACCATTAGTGTGGAAACACGACCCCAATTTGAAGATATTTACCAGGTTCCTCTTGGGACTTCTTATAGTATCAGTGTGCTTGTTGATAGCAGCTCTAGACCATGATACTTACATAAAGACTTTTCTGTGGATATGTTTAGGAAATGCAACTTTTGGTACAATATTCTACAGGATGTTGAAAAGGAGGAGAAAAAGCAGACTATGTGGATCTTGTACTCAGTTTTAACAATGTGCATGTTCATGGTGGTGAGGTTAGTAGATATTAGAAATTATCGAAGATTGTTTGTTTGGGCATACTTTGGTCTTACTACTTTAGGATTGCTTCTGCTGCAACGGGATTACGAGATGTTAGTAAGTTCAAGTGACAAGCAAACCAGTACGGGTAGATCAGCTAAATTGAAGTAGCTACTGCATTGGAGAGGAGCACAATCTCAACAGAGGACAGAAACTGCGGCATCCGTTAGCATTTAACAAGGCTGCATGCATTGTCGGTGGAAATTAGTTATTACTTTGGAGAGCAAACCCTTGGTACAAAAGCAAGTCAATTCCAGGAAGCGAATTTGCATTTTGCTCAAGATAAAGGGAATGAAATCTATGGTTGTCTCTAAGTTTGTCATTTGACATTGTCTGTAGAGTCTCACTCTCTAGCACCATCTCTTGCAAAGTACTACTTTGAAGAAAAGGCAAGCATTTTCAACTTCATTAGTTTTGGAAAGTGGACTGGACAAATTAACATGGTTGCAATATGCACTACTTTAGGTAAAGCTCCAGCTATGAAATTGATGAAGTGATGTAACGTGTTCCTTCCTTCCTCAATACGCGGTTGAAAACCACAAACAGTAAACAAACAACATCACAACAAACCAGAAAAAAGCAAAAATAAAAAATAAAAAAAATAAAAAATAAAAAAAAATGGAAAGATACCTTTCACCACGTATTTCATTCGATATCACAACAAATCGTACTGTTATTGAGCCCTTTTCTCTACCCAGTGCTACTCAAGGTGTAAAAGATATGGATTATTTACAGCCTGGTATGTATATTGTGTGCAAACACTCGCCTTTTTTTAGCAGCATGCGCTATCATGAATCAAAACGTATACTAACATTGCCTCAGGATTTGACCCGTCTTCAGTCACGGTGGCGAAGCTCAGGAACATATTAAATTCACACAATGTTTTGTATCCAAGCAGCGCCAAAAAGTCAGAGTTGGTGGAAATTTTTCAAGATGAGATTGCGCCAAAAGCGTCTACATTACTTGCTGAATACAACGCAAGAATTGGCAACTCTCATGATCACGGATTTCTCAATGCTACTGACAATGACGAGGAAGCAGATGAAAGGGAAGACAAATTGACACCCAGGGGAGATAAAAAGACAAAAAAGAGTAGCACTGCTGAACCTACTCCCGAGAAGTCCAAAATCAACACTGATCATGCCAAAGTCGTAAAACCCAAGGTCAAGAAGGAATCCAAAAACAAAGATGACAAAGTTTCAACAAGGAGGAATAAGAAACGAGTTGAAAAAGAGGAGCAGAGGGAAAAAGAGAGTGAAATAAAGACAGAAGAACACACTGAACATGAAACTTCTAAAGCAGAGGACGAATCAGAGATTGATGATTCCGAATCCGATGCCACGGAAAATCTCAGCTCTTTTAGCGATCAAAATGTCTTTCAATCAAGGAAAGAGTCTTCCAAACCATCAAGAAAGAGAAAGTTGAACAATAAAGATGACGAAGAATCTGCAAAGAGATTGAAATCACCAACTGCCACAAGCAACAAATCGCGCATTACCAAATCTCCAAGCAAGTCAATCTTTGATGACAGTGACTCTGATATTCTCAACTATTCGTCATTGGACAAGAAGGAGCATGACAAAAGTTTTTCTCAAGAGAAGCAAGCAAAAGATCTTACCACACAATCTCCCCGGACACCTTCAACAAAGCCTAATAAGGCGTTGCCTGTATCCACCACCCAACAAAAGTCATTCAATTCATTGCAAGAGGAAATGGATAATTTTGATAAGCAGTTGAACATAGTTAAACAGAGACACAGTTCCAACACTCCTATAAAGACTGAGAAAGATGCGAAGTCAAAGTCACGACGCACTACCCAATCACCCACAGTCGACAATGATTTGGCAAAACTGTTGGGAATCACAATACAAGGGTTTCAACCACCGGTTGTTCCTGCGCAGTTGCAACAGGTCAATCAGAATGTTAATCTGGGTGATGATGCTGCGTCAGTTGGAAATAGTCAAGGATTGTACAATTTGCAGAGCGAACAACGTAATGGCAGTGCGCAAGAATTGAGTAGCAACGTGAGATCTACAAGCAGAGACTTTACTCCAACAAGAGCAATTATGGTTGATGATCAAGGAGAAGGGAAATCTACAAAAACACCCACTTCTACGTCAAGTAAAAAGAAGAAGAAGACTTCTCAAACTCCAAGCAAACATACTACACCAGTCCCAAAAGCAACACCAAAATCGAGCGAATCATCAAGGAGAAGTGTCACACCAAAATCAGCCAAGAAGACACCCAGGATAAGAACACCACTTGGGAAGCTTGCATTGACACCTAAACCAAGATTGTTGTCGCTCAACTCAACCCAAAATATTCTGGATTCCGATGATGATGATGACGAGGAGAAGAGGGAGGTTGAGGAGGAAGAACAAAAACTGACCATTGACAATAGCCAGGCCGATGTGGAGCACTCTATTGAATACACTGATGGTTTATTCCTGGTTTCTACAGCCATCACCTTTGTTACTTGGATTCTGGTCATTTTGTCTGCATTGTTTGGATACTGGTACTATGAACAAAAGTACTTGGTTGGCTACTGTGGACAAGAGATTGATCAACCCACATTTGAAGATTCATCCGTTACATTGATTGAGAAACTTGGCAATGTCCTTGATACCTATTGCAAACCCAGTTGCGTCCCTTGTCCACCACATGCTCGATGCTTTACCAATTTAGAGTTGGGATGTTTTGAAGATTTCATGGAGCACAAGCCATGGTACGACTTTGTTTTACCAGGACACAAGAAATGTGTGCCCGATACGAAAAAAGCCGAGAAATTGGAGATTATGATCGATGTTGCACTCGATTTGTTGCGCAGCAGAAACGCAGCTGTTGAGTGCGGTGTAGGCTCTGATGATGTCAAAAGTGGAATTTCTGTGCAAGAATTGCATGATTTGTTGTTGTCGATGAAGGCGCCATACATCACTACTGAGGAATTTGAGGAACTTTGGTCGAGATCAATTGTTGAATTGAAAAAAGAACCCGATATCACGTTAAGGCAAGTACGAACTTTTTAAAAAAATTCAGATTTTTTCAGTCATTTGAACTTCAATACTAACTAATCTATCTAGATCAGACTTGCAGATTTACCGCCAGGACAATCCCCATCTAACACTAACAACTCGGAAGGCAAGGTTCAGGACAAAATCGAAATTCTTCGATCAACGTCCTTATCAAACATTAGCTTGAAATGTCAAATCCGCAGCAGTATAATGGGAAACATTTCTCGATACAAATATTGGATACTAACATTAGTATTATCAGTGATTGCATTCAAGGCTATACAATTTAAATTTAGACGACACCAATTGGAAAAGATCAAGATTGACATTTTGTATCAAGAAGTATTGGACAAGTTGGCAAATCAAGCCAGAATTGCTAGTGAAAACTCCAGCATTAATCGATACATTGGTGCTAATCAATTGAGGGATTTGATTTTGAGTAGCGAAGACGATTTGAGTGAGCGTGTAAGGTTGTGGAACTTTGTTGGGAATAAAGTGGAGCACAATACAAATGTTGTGAGCAGGATTACAGAGAATCACGGTGAAATTATGAAAGTTTGGGAGTGGATAAGCGATGAGAATAGATGATTTGTGAATGTAGGGAATGAATGCGGAAACAAGAGTCGTAGAGTTTGTAGATAAATATACACATGTGTAAATATACACAGCTGACAACCTACCTAAAACGGAAATACGGTGGTATGGTGGGGTGGCTTCAAGCTCATAACCCACTTAAAACTGCAACCTGGTGCCATTATGCTACGATGCTGAGCTCGTAAATTGTGTAAAATTACAACGCAGTGCCTTTTGAAGGTAAGGCGTCAAGCTCAGAGGAAATTTATAAGGACTAACAGATTCGAACTTTGAGATAGTAATTAGTAATGAAAGACTTCCGTTTGAAATTTAGTGTATAGAAAGTAAAATTGAATAAACACGATAACACCATCTGTATTACTAACAATGCCATCTAACACTACTAAAACCACAACTGCTGCAATTGACAGCTAACTTGGAAAATCATCGGTTCACTACCTCTCAATAATTGACCCTATATAAGGATTACTTTCTGACAAGATTCTTTCCCTTCCTTCATAGAGACAAAGTACAATTCGACAATTTCTCATAGCAGTAAATGTTGCCAATCGTAAAGACGATGACATATAGCAAAAGGAAAACAATCGAGTATATTTGTCCATCTTTGCAATTTGCAACAACAGGTCAAATCACTCTCTGAGGACCGCCAACAGCAAAATTTCAATGCATTTATCTAAAGTGTCGTTTGTGACTAGTGTAGTATATCTAAGTACCGTTCATTTATCCCTCACTCACCCGTAACCCCCCTCCCCCCTTTCCGCGTTTCTAACCATCTCCAATCGATGCCGCCTTTTACATCCCAGTAACACTTCTTTCCTACAACAGCAGCCTCATCCAACCAAATTGCTCAAGCTATGCAAGAAATTTGTTATCAAGTATTCAATTGAATCCAACTTTGTAAAACAGCTGACCAAGACCGGATCCTCAGACGAAACTTCAATTTTCGATTTGATCATCACAACCATTTTGTTATACGTTACACACCTCGTGATATAATCCTGTGCATCATGTTTCGGTTTCAACAGTATATGACTCATCACATTGTTGAAAAAGCTACTCGTCTCATGCTTGTCATGCGAATCGTAGTCGGGAAGCAAGTTATTGACTTTCTCATTTTCCTTACCTGTTTGCAAACTAGGAGCACCACTTACGACCGAGCTGACGTCCGAAGACAGATGTTTCTGTCCCGTTGATCCTCTTATGCTATTGGCAGATGATGGAGGAAGTTTCATTTGTTCTCGAACCTTGTCAACATAAGATTGACCGGTGTGCGGATCGATATCACCCCATGGTTTTTCCATTACTCGTGACAAACTTTTCAAATCGACGCAAATCTCTGCTTGGTTGAGATAAAAGTCAATGGGGATGGTGTTTGGTAGCTCAGGTTCGAAAACTTGGCCATTGGTAACTTTTTCAGGGAAAACCAAGCCTGGGTCTGTTGGAAGTTGTAAATTCGTCTTTGCTGTCTGTATACTGGATAGTAGGCGCTGAAATTCGTCAATCAACTTTTTATGCGTAGCGTCATGATCGAGCACTTTCACGTCAGTGAATTCAGATAGTTGGTTGATCAACATGATCGATGCATCGATGGCACTATTGGCATTGATGATTTGCTCCAATAGTACAGGCTTTTTCAATTTCAACTTGTGGAATACCTTGTTTAGATAGTGATCTCTGACCGCTACAGTAAATTCGGTAATGAATGCACCATCTCTAACAATGATACCCTTCAAGTTGTCTTGGGTTCCCGATGACACAGGTAACTTTATAGGGGGGCCTTTTTGAATCTTGCTGCTAGGATCTGGTTGTTGTGGAGAGTTGAACATTAGCAAATTTGAACATATAGTTAATGCTTCAATGATTTGTGGGAATTCGGGCAAGATAACCAGCGATACCAACCAATGTAGTTCACGATCATCTTGTTGCTGTTGTATTTTGGAAACCAAGTTTGCAAATGTTTGTTGATCTTGGTTCAGCTGGAACAAGTTCATCTTTCGGTTGTACTAGAAATCAGAATGATGGAAAAGGTAGATGAATGGAGAAACTGTTGGTGCTGTTGTTGTTGTTGTTGTTGTTGTTGTTGTTGGTGCTGTTGTTGGTATGCAGGTGGATCTTTCTCATCTTCTGTCAAAAACACAAATATTTTACGCGACGGTTTTAGCCATACAAAGCAAATCACCACTCTTTTGCACGTCAATTTTGCATAATGAACTACAGCATCACCTCGATCGAGTCTGATTTGCTAAACTTGCACAATTCAACTGTTTTGAACAATACAAATGCAACTGCCACTTCGCTGTCATTGCTAAATCTTGATTTACAATCATGGATCTTACAAGAGCTCGCCACGGTGGTTTTGATATTGTGCTTTTCGTTGACATTGATCACGATAGGATCGTACTCAACCATATCCAAACCTAAAGATGCTGGAGATCCAAGAGACGACATGTATTCAAATGAAAATTTTGATCCAACCGATATGGACAATTCCAGATATTTCATTACGAATAAATTCGGTTTGGAACTGATTGGAATACTGGAATTAACGTGGACTCACGTGTTTATGTTTCCAGTTGTTGCTGGATTGGCCATTTCGGGGATGTATTATTGCCTCAAGAATAAAATTTCAATCAGTTCCATCATCAAGTGGTACTTTATCTTGTTAACGCCAGCAAATACATACTTTACATTCAATACATTGTTGACTATGGCGGCGAGGAGAGTCACACATCTTTTTGGGAAGGATTCACGAGCAGTGTTTGAGAGGTATAGATTTGCCATTGCCAAAGATCAAGAGTTGTTTCCTCTTGGTGTATTGGAGAATATTGACCTTGACAAGTTTATCGATGAGGGTGAGAACACCAAGGGAAAGAAAACAGATGACGATTCCGAGGATGATCCAGCAGCAAAGAAGGTGGTCAAGACTTTAAAACTCAAGCAGTACATTGAGGACCAGAAATTGACCATATTTGGCGAAACGGATTTGCAATCGGGTGCATTTGAGTTTGATGGTGTGTTTGATCTAAAATTTTTACTTTTATTGCCAGCATCGCTTTTCATTAGCTACACATTTTATAAAAACTACACCAGTTGGAAATGGAGCAATTTCATTGCCTTTAATTTTGTTATTTCATCCTTTTCACAATTTCAATTGACAAATTTCAAGTTGGCGTATGGTTTATTATTGGGATTGTTTTTCTATGACATTTACTTTGTTTTTGGTACTGAGATTATGATGACTGTGGCCACAAAGATGGATGTACCTATGAAGTTATCAATTCCCAAATTGTATGATTCGGGCCTCAGTATTTTGGGATTGGGAGATATTGTTATACCTGGCTTGCTATGCAACTTGTGTTTACGATTTGATGTTGCCAGACACTACAAGAAAAATACTGATGAACCATTTCATCATTTGACAAATTATCCAACACCATATTTCACCGTTAGTTTAATCTTTTATTCCATAGGAATCATTGCAACTTTGGTGGCACTCAATGTGTTTCAAACGGGACAGCCTGCATTGTTGTATATTGTGCCAAGTTTGTTGTTGGGAATTACTGGATACAGTTTTGCCAAGGGTGAATTGGATCAATTTTGGAGTTTTTCCGATAGTATAAAGCCATTTGATCACAACGATGGAGATGACTCCGATGAAGACGAGGAGTATGTTCCTGAAGAAATTGATGATGAATTGGACGCGTTCATTGCCAAGGTGGAAAGAAAAAGAGCTCAGGATGAAGGATTGAGTGAGACTGATATTGACGACTTGTATAACGAGGACGACGATGATACTTTCGTAATTGAAGTGGACGAGGGGGAGGAAGAAGGAGAAGATGATGGCGACAGCGATGAAGAAGATAGTGACGAAGGCATAGATACAGAGGAATCTGACGAAGATGCTGGATGGGAATTTAGAGAAGATTTGTCTATTTTGATTAGAGATTTGAATGATGAACCAAGGGAGTGGTATACAAGTGATGAAGAAGAGGACTGAGTGTGCTAATTGATGATAGATAGGTAACATAGCCTATCATTTTAGTAGTTTGTTCGTACTGAGTAGATTTGGGAGTAGTGGATAAACTGTAATGTAAGACTGTTGCACAAGTTACACTAGGTGATAAGAAACGAAGGTTCTAAGTTGAGACCCAAGATAAGATTTCAATGTTACAAGATAAGAATTGTTTTAAGCCACCCACTAGGGGGTGTACAGCTATGCACTCAACCACAGTATTACAGATTCCGGGGTCAGTCGTACGAAGTATGATTTAGATTATTGGAAACGGTTCTGAAGACATGCTTTTTCGCTGCTGATTGTTCTTTCCTGATTCTACACGTATAGGCGGTGGATCTAATTTCTCTTTTTCTAGAGTGCAATGATTTGCTTTGGTTTGCTTTGGTGTGGATTGTATTGTGTTGTGGTAAGTGTGGAATGTAGTGTGTATTTGTATTGTATGTGAGTTATGCAAGATCTAAAGATTTGGTTTACCCAAAAACTAAGCCTTGTATTGATAATCACAAACTACACAAATCAAATATACCAAACACACAAACTCCTTTATCAACAATAACTTCACAATAATGACTTTCTTTTTTTTTTTTTNTATGTGAGTTATGCAAGATCTAAAGATTTGGTTTACCCAAAAACTAAGCCTTGTATTGATAATCACAAACTACACAAATCAAATATACCAAATACACAAACTCCTTTATCAACAATAACTTCACAATAATGACTTCTTTTTTTTTTTTTTACTGCAAAGAAAGCCCCACGTGGGTGTTGGTCGTTTCCCTTTAACTCAAGCAAATAATCAAACACAGTTCTAAACAATGCATACAATCTAGAGAAATTAAAGCTCGTCAACACTCCATGTTATCCATAATTATCCATACATTGACCTTTTTGATACCTAGAACTTGTTACACCCGATATAGTTAAATTTAAGGTTTCGCCAAATAAGAGTTCCACAGCAGTGGCAAATCTATTTTTTTAAATTTTGTTTTTTGTTTTTGTTTTTTTTAATCAAGTCACAACCCCCCCTGGAGATCTTGTGACCGTTCTGCTTAAGCGCTGGTGCTGCTTTTAGCATCCACGAAGATGCAATTAAATGAACTTGCAAGAATCATCCCTTTTACCAAACACTAGTATCATCTATTGGCGCCGTTCTCGTTGCAAAACAATAATCCAATATACAAGTGGATATAGCCACATTGTTTGCAGGGTACAGATTATACACAAACAAAAGGGACTAAATGTATCTGCACGACTCCCTATTGTTGTACTATACAGACACAGCGTGGTATATTAGATCCATCAATAAGCCCGAAACGAAGGGGAAAAAAAAAGAAAACACTGTAAAGTGGACAGTTATCATTCGTACCACCTTCTCCTACTTGCCTCCAATATCTTCTCCTAATGTAATTTTAACCAAGAAAGAGGGGGCCAGAAAGAGAGTCAGTAAGTGACTATTTATATATATATATATATATATGTACATCTCAGTATATATAAATAGAAACACACACATTGTAAATAAACAAAAATTGAGTTAAAAGAAACCCCCCCCTGCATACGAAACACACGCTGCACTGTTGCATATTCTAATGACACAAAGCGGAAAACAATAGAGTGAGAAAAGGTGTTTACCGCCAGAATTATCCCATCCATACGGAAATAAACATGCACAACAATGGTAATAACAGCTCCGCTCCCTACTTCCCTTTTTGCTAATAAATCAAGCTCCTCTTACACCATACATATAGAACTGTCTCCCCCTTCATTTCTCTTTAATCGTTGCTTTACCCGTTTTTGCAAATATCCCCTTCTTTTTTCTTTAACTTTGAAGGTACCAAAGCATGGCTACATTAAGAACGCAACAACGTACATTTATTGCAATAGTCGTTTTCCTACTCATACTTTCAACTATATCATTTTTGAATATCAATAGGCACTCACTAAGCAACTTTAGAGGGTATACCTCACAACAATCTGAGTTGAAACTTTTCACCTCAATCGAAACAAAGAAGCCCACAGCCTCGAAAGCCACTGAAGAGGCCAACACAGCCACGGCAGCACCTGCATTGGCAACAACCAGTGAAGCTAGCAGCAGCTCGACCAGTGGCACCTCCACCTCTACATCCTCAACCATACAAAGCAAACCAACTGGTGAATCAACAAGCCATCAACAATTCTTCAAATACTCGTACTACGACACAACATCAAATTCATTCAAGGTAGTTTATGAGCAACAACCGCAACATATCCCCCGCCTGGAACAAGAACAGAAAGAAACCGAAGCAAAACCAACGAATAAATATACCACCATCAATGAAAAACCTTCCATTCTTATCCTTTCAGCTATCGGCAAAGATAACCCATATGGCAATAATCGTGTATTTGTGGATTTCATGAAATCAATACAAACTATAGTCGACAACCAACCAGATTTCCATTTCAACTTGGGACTATCAACAAACTACATCACCGAGTTTGAAAATATTCAACAGTATATTCATGATTATGACAGTGAGCTTTTCAAGTACTTTAGAACAATCACCGTTGTTTCTGCACCTGATCTAGAACACCTTCCATCCACTGGCAGCACCGATGGAGATGGATTATCTAGAGAAAACCGACACGACGACAACAAACAGCGATTAAGAAGAAGATTGATTGCTAGATGTCGAAACTACCTCATATCAAACGTCCTCTCATTGGAAACATACACCTTATTCCTCGATTCCGACATTTCAGAATTTGAACATGCTTCCAAATTCATTCAATTCCTAGTTGGATCCAAAAAGGATATAATTGTCCCTCGTATTACAAGAGGCGAGACCTCGGACTATGACCGTAATTCATGGCGGGGTAAACGAACCAAACCCACTCCGGAACAATTACAATTGATGGATGAAAACAAATGGGACCAGGTTGATTATGTACCTCGTGATGTTGAACTGGAGATGTTTCATTTTGTCAACATGGACAATAAGCAGGACTTGACTATTGAACAACAGAAATTAAGTTATATAGTTCCGTTGGACTCTGTTGGTGGTGCTGTTCTTTTCTTCAAATCCTACATTTTCAAACAAGGTGCCATTTTCCCAACTAGTTATATAATCGGAACTACTTGGGACAGAATGGAGGGCTATGATGGAATTGAAACTGAAGGAATATGTTACTTGGCCAAGCCATTGGGTTATCGTTGTTGGGGTATGCCCAACTTAGTGGCTCATCATGTAATTTAATTCAAGATAGGCTAAGAAGATATAATTTAGACTTTATTCACATCATTTAAAAGCCTCTGTTTTCCTCTTGGCTTTCGACATGTCGTGGTACCTACGCTTGCACAATATGTAACAGCTTCTCCTTGATTACTTTATCCGGCAACTCATTCACCAAAACCACATAATTGACACCGCCCCATTTCTTCTGTTTGGTGTTCTTGTACCACAAGCATTTCGTAGATTGGGGAAGTGTTGGAATCAAGGCCTCTATATCAATCAATGGCGGCAGAATTGTATCAGCATTAAGCGCAATTTCGTGTAATCTTGGATGTGTAACACCCTTGTGTTGGCCAAGGTTGTCCATGGAAAACGCTTGCAACATAGTATCATTCAACTTCAACACTCGAAGATTAGTTTCTGTTGCAGGAAAACTCAAGTCAAGTTCATATAGTGGATTATACGAAAGATTGAGCACTTCAATTGACGTAGTTGAAAAATGCACTGACACCTGTGTGAGTTCATTCAGTTCCATGGTCAACACCCGCAAATTACGCAACCCCAAAACTGACTTTGGAAACTTGGAAAGCCCATTGCTAGATAAATCGAGCACCTCCAAGGTTTGTGGGAACTCAAGCTTGTGGCTGCCCCATTCAACCCCATGTAGATCGAGACTGGTGAACATGTATTGACCTGGAAGTACCTGTGTTGAAGAAAGAGTTTCATCAACCGGAACACGTGGTACACCTCCATACATTGAAAACTCCTTGAGACTGGAAGGTAGCTTGGTCAAGGCAGATCTTGAAAGTGTGTACTTGTTACTGTCTATGCGTAATTTATCGAGTTGTAGTAACTCTCCACTCCTATTCACCAAGAGGTCAACTTCGTCCAATTCATTAAATGAAGCATTGATATCCCTCAAAGTCACCGGGTAGGAAGCCCCATCCAATCTTCTCAAGTGATTGAAAGTGATATCCAACTTTTCCATTTTGGGTGGGAAGGTAACCTTGTCTAAGGAGACGATAAAATTATCACTTAGATTCAATCTTTCAACAGACTTGGGGAACACACACCTTTCAACCATAGACCCCAAATCAGAGCTTGACAATTCAAGATCTTTCAATTTCGAAAATTTTGCAAAGTTGAGATCAACGTCCTCCCATTTGATGTTGCACCGCAGTAAACGCAAGTACAGTAATCGCAATGGAAGCATCTCCAACACTAGACTGGCATTCTCATGTACCTTGACAAGTGTTAATTTTTCCAAAGTGACGGGAAGCTTCCACAGCAGTAGTCCAATATTGTCTCCCATCTTGACGAGTTCCAATTCTGTTAAAGGTAGAAAACTCAACGGTGGAGCTGTGGTTTGCACCAATGACAAAGACTCCAAGGTGATTTCCTTTTCCCTCACATGTGTATTGAAAAACGGAATAAATATGTCGAAGCTCCCGCTATCGTGATCAAATTTCGATATCTTTATCTTTGAAGTCCAGGGACCACTCAATTGTAAAATCATTTTGCATAAGTTCGTCACTAAACCAGGAGACACAGGTCCATCCAAATGCAACTCAAGTTCTTCAATTTGGGGATATGAGATTGGCTGGGGTTCAACTACCGACTGGCCCAAATCAAGAGTCCCCCTCAACGAGAGCCTCCTCAACAATTTCGGTAACTCCCAAATCCTAAATTGCGGTTGTTGGCTAGGCACAGGCGCATACGTAAGGTCCTTCAAGTTGTCACACTCCAAAAAGGAGCCTTTCACGAAACAATTGCAAAGTTTCAAAATTTCAATATTTTTGAGGTCACTCAAGTTTATCTCATTGTTGTAATGTGCATCGTCTTGTCCAAGGTCGATGGAAAACAGGTAAATGCTACTTTTGGCTTTTTTGAGAAAGCTCAACAACTGAGCAACATCAATGGCGTAATTGTTCTTGTACTTCAGGAATAAGATTTCGACACTCAATTTCACTGTCGAGCTTGGTTGTAACTCCTCAATCAAGTCTTTGAACTCATACAAATACTCAGTAGAGTGCTTCTTATAAGACAAATGTGCAATAACTGGCACTTTTTCTCGAATGCAATAGTCGTATAGTGTTTGAAATTGACTTTTGGACTGAAGTTTTAATCCACCCAACTTGTTTGGCTGAGGTTGGTCGTCAAACAAATATGTAGCATCCAGGTCCCACGAGTACAGGAAACTCCCCGCATTTCGAATGTAACTCTTCAAAGCCGGCTTAATGTTATGGTTTCGTTGTAGAAAGGGTTGAGAATTCCGTTTGAAGAATTGAGTAATTTCATATATTTCCACATGTGAAAGTATCTGACCCCAGAGATCTTCCGACAAGTTGTCTAGTAAATTAAAATGGCTAAAGACCATCGCGTGCTAATGATATATGATAGGATCAATGGAGCACATGGATCTTTTTTCTCATTCGCCAATTTTTGAAGTTTGGTGGAAATGGGGAATGTGTTGATGAGAGGTCAATGTTAGCGAGACGTGTTTTCACAAAATAGTCAACTTTTATAATGAGGTACCACCACCCGCACTACAGACACCACAGACACCACAGACACAGGCCAAATAGATCTCATTTACTAACAGGTAGTGGACGTAGTTACTTGATACTCGTCAGAAAACCATTTACTTATTATACGCAGAGTACACTAAGGGTGCTGGACAAGCCAAAGTCACCGAACAGAACCCTCCTCAATATTGACCACTAAGGGATATCTATTGCACTTCATTGTCTAATTAGCCCAATTACTCTATAAATGTGATTGATCATAATAGAACTTGGTCAACGGCGATACTGGACGAGGATATCCACCCAACTGGTGGGTTTTTCTGAACTCTGCAATCGAGGTGACCAAAGTTCCACAAGGGTATCCTTCTGGTACGGGATGTTCTATAGCTGATTTGATCTCTTGCGCAACTTGTGCTTGATTCAAAGTTGTCTTTGTCACACGTTCAACTTCTCCAATATATTCCTCAACGATCAAGTCGATGGACGTCAGATCCGCTTTTTTGACCAAATCATCAACAAACTCATGTCCAACTTCGTACCCATGACGGTATCCAAAGTTGGCTAAGGCACTTTGTACTAGTTTTGCATGCGGCACTGTGTTCTTTACCTGTGATTTCAAGTGCAACACAAACTTGCCACTTTTTTGGTTGTTGTTGGTTTCTACTCCAGTGACATATTCACTGAAAAATCTGATAAACTCTTCTTTGGTGATTTTCTCCAATAATGATGCATGCTTTTGCCTTGCATCAAACTCATAATACCCATCTGTAATAGAATTCCATAAACGGCTAGTTTCCTCACCCAAGTGCTTGATTTTTTGCAATTTGGCATCAATCAAAGCTTGCTTGAACTTGTCAAAGTTCTCATCAGTCAACTCATGGTTCACGTACTTGCCAAACTTTGTCAAGAATTCGTCAATTCTGTACTCCAAATACTCACTAGACCTCTCTGACTGCACCAAGATTCTAAACCCAATAGAGGTTCTCCCCTTTCTCAACCCTGAAAACACAACATACCCCAACTGCTCCTTTGTTCGCAATTGATTGAAGCAAGGTTCGCGAATGATTGTTGCCAATAAATCGGTAAGCACCCTCAATTTTACGTCGTCATTGGTTGGGCTAAATTGCAAGTAGTACTCAATACACGAGTTGATATTGTGTTTATCCTTTAGGTCAACTTCGAAGCGTGTGACTTCACCCGGTTGAAACACATAGTTTTGCAAATGAAACTTGTTTTCGTCATATTCCTGCATGATTGGACTGATCAGATCCAAGTGTCTCGATATAGTTGATCTAATCTCGGTGGCATTGTTGATGTCAAAGTTACCATGAGCCAACACTTCTGCAAACACACCGGCTGAGGTAATTGAATTTTTGATAAACTTCTCCACGTCGTTGAACTGCAAGTTCTCCAACACTTTGATCTTGTCATCATAATCGTACACTTTTTCATTGACAACTTGTAAATGATACGTGCCAATTTGATTATAAGGGACTTGATACCCAACATTCTTAAACTCTTTCAACAACTTGAACTTCAATGGCGCAAATCTATCCGCACTGGGCGTAAAGTTGAAAAACTCATCCAAAACCTTGTTTAAAAGAACTGGGAGCTTGTGATTGTACCCACTAACATATATAGCAAACCCATCTCGCCAACAATTGATGCCAACTCTCAAACCAACCAACGATGCAAAATAAGTAACTTGATTCAAATGATCATCTAGCATTTCGGCAAACACGACAGATTTTGTTGCTGATTCTATATCAACATTGGCGGCCGGTAAATGAAACACAATTTCAATTGTCCCCTTTGGCACCTGAAACTGATCATCTTGTTTGTACCAAAGGTTCATCTTGTTATCGTGAGATACTAAATAAGGGAAAATTTGTGGCGACTCCAGTTTCTTTCCAAGTATGTCAAAGTTGGTGGGAATAAAAGGGTTCGGTGCTGGGAAATGCAATTTGGGGTTGTGAGTGGTTGGTGGTGCTTTGAGCAGATCGAGCAAGTCCTTTGGGATATCTTGCACCTCGTACTCTGTGCCATACCACTTTTCTTTCCGAGAAAGGTCTTCAAAGTCAGGGGACACCAAAGTGACGCGAAAGTTTCCACAATTCAAATAAGACGCAAATGTGCCGATAGCTTCAGGGTCGTACCTAGTTACAACAGAAGAGCTCAATAATCTGTCAGCAGGTATGTACTCGTCAAACTTGTATAGAGAGCTGCTCAATTTGGAAGCCGTATTCGCGGCATCTGATTTCTGCTTAAACTTGAAATTGACCTCTGACATGCTCTTGATCTCCTCCCATATCCACTTTTGCGGTCCTTGCTCTTTAATAAGGTTTAAGTAATCAAACGTAGTCTTGACAATATCTTGCCAGTTCCTCAACCCCTCGGGAGTCAATTGAAACTCAACAATGTACGAAGAGCTACCCTGGCAGACTTTCATATTCCCAGAAGACAATTCGGTAACCCAGCCTTTACTCTTGAGGTAAAACAAAATGGAGCCTTCACTTTCGTGACCCAACAAGTGTGAAAAATAACTTTGTGGTTTGCAATCCCATTTGCTCTCCAAATCGTCAGGTATCATAAAAGTTATATCCATTTGGTGCATATCCTTGACTGGTTTTGCTTTGATGAGCTTGAGCATCTGGTCTTTTTCGTAAATCAACTCGCCATCATAGCTAGGTCTCGCCAAACCTTTATCTGTCACTTCAGAAAACTTTTCAATGGCCCAGGTCGATAACTCATCCAAACTCTCTTTTCCTAGGATTACCAAAGACATCAAGTTGGAAGAATATCTGTCACTGTGGAATTTCATCAAGACATCACGCACATTGACTCCTTCCAGCTCGGGTACAGTATGCAAAGTGACAAAGTTGCCAGTTGAGAATCCATTGTATGGGTGACGGGCATTACTCAACAGCTTGTCCAATTGGTACAACCGCCACAAGTCATTTTGAAGATTTTTTTTATTTTCAGAATCAACAGCGTTTATCTCACGATCTTTGCAACTTTTGCTAAACAATGGTGAAATGAAAAACTGGGCAAACCTATCCAACGCTCCCTCCAAGTGATTTGATCCAACCTGGAAGTAGTAGTTGGTATGTTCTGCTGCAGTGTAGGCGTTGGAATGCCCCGAGTGTTTGGCCAAATAGTCGGAGTACTCGTTTTCCAGTGGGTACTTTGATGTGCCCATGAATAACAAGTGTTCGCAAAAATGAGCCAAACCGGGGACATTATACGCCTTGTCTGCAAACGACCCAACATTGACATCTAACGACGCTGCTGACTTGTCTGCGTGTGGATCACTGATGACCAACACTCTGATATCGTTTTTAAGCTTCAAGTAACGATATTTCCTATCATCGAGAAGTGGCTTTTCAATGTTGGAATCATCAGCTAATAAAGTGAACTGCTCTTTGAGGTCAGGCATGATGGACTGTGGTGATGTTGCAAAAGGTCTTTTCAATAAGTTTGACAAGGATAACGAGGGACTGTAGTAGTAAAAAGTGGTAAAGTGTTTAACCAGTGTCGACACAATGAAACTATGCAGATAAAATTTTGTGCAACACCAGAAGAATAGGACCATGAAAAGGAGGCAAGCTCTAGTATATGTGAAACCAATGTTGAAAATCAACTTTGTTGGAAATGTGAGGGACAAATACGGGGCGTTATCGAAAGGCGAGCTCTTCTTTAAACCTTTGTTTTTTCTTTTTCTCTCTTCGGCGTTGGTGGCACAAAACAATCAGATGGGGGATGATAGAATGCGGCGGTGGCTGCTGATACCTTGTTGGTTACTATCACCCTTGTGGTTGCACAGCCAATTATTTCAGAGTGTCAGAAGAGCTAGCACCTTCATTGGAGTCGACGAGGAGGAAGGGTAGTGGAAAACCAGTAAAAAAGTGTGGCATCTAACTTACAACCAAGCAGTAGTCTCTCATTCACTCGACAATCAACTCAGCCTATATTCATATTTTGCTGCAAGAGGTGAACTGAGGATCTCGAGAGCACATTCCTTTCACAAATACTGGGGTATTTGTGTTGTACATATATCGGTCGGGGATGTTCTTTTACATTAGTTAAGCAAATAGTTGCAAAATAAATGAATCATCCGACTTATTTATCTGAGCACGTGCAATATGGCTTTAACTTGTTGCTTTTCCCACAACTTTGACTGCTTGGAGTTCTACAAATGAGCAATATTAGGTAGAGTGGTGCATATTATTGGGCAATCGTGATATACATCTATGGAGCTACTATTGTTTGTCGCATTCTAGTCTGCCGTAGAAATAAAACCGGACACAACACCAATTGAGCAGATCACTGTTTGTGCGACTTTGAATAAAATGTGCCCTCGTTGTTGATTGGTGGAAATGGCATATCGCGTCCTTACTAGTTTTGAAAAACGATAAGAAAAGAATACTCTGTAAGCAAATCATGGAAATTTTGCGCTAGTTTCTTTGCAACATTTCAAAATAGTTTGAGCTCATGGGAGAGGTTAAAGAAACTACGATACAAGAGTTAACTTCAGTAGCATTGACTATGTAATACCCGTCCATATACATCCACAACGCCATCATTTATTGTGATGGAGTCCTCACGAATTGGGGACTTGTTGTCTACACCCAAATCGCTATCATGTCCAAGGTCACCAATCTGCATTAGTAACAATAACATTCTAAATCGAGGTCAACGAAGTAACAACCAAAGGTTTTCCTTGCACTGAATTTCACTTTTATCACTTCTGGCCATCGAAGACGGAGAGAAGTTTCACCAAAAGTTGAACCGCGGTTAAACACCAAGTGGTGTAGCAATAGACAGTTTGTGTAAAAGTGCATTCCTCAGCTCTCTTCTCCCTAACTTCTCCGACTCCCCACCCATTCTTCCCTGGTACTTGCAGCTGCCAAGAAAATTGGGGTTCACACCACATTATGGGAATTGTTTCAACACTGTCATTTTGATTTGTGGCACTTGCGCACTAAAGCTATTGCACAAACACGAGCCAAGAAAATGAATGAATAAGTAAACACCCGAAAGCAATTGAAAGCTTTTTCCCGACATGCAGTGTCAACCACACTAAAACGAACCACAATTTGAAAACAACAACATATAAACAAAGCGGGAAGAAACTTTCAATTGTTTTAGTTGCCGCTTCCTCCGCCCATTCTTCAATTCCATCAGGGTGTTCTGAGGATATGCTTTTCTTTTTTTTTTTTCTTTTTTTTTTTTTTTTTTTTTTTTTTTTTTTTTTTTTTTTTT